TTTTAACTGACGTATTACACTTACAGATGTTATATAAAAAGATATCGGTATCCGATTTTGTCATAATTAGTCTGAAAATTAAATCTTTATAGTATGCCTGTAGACTCACAATGGTACGAATATTGTATCCCAATGTCACCTTGGAACAAATGGAACAAAATCAATTGCGCGTGCGCAAGCTAACAGCTGATCCAGTCAAGCAGAGGTTAAGTTCTACATTGTTCATGGGTGAATGATTCGTTTCTATATTTTAAAAATAATTATAAATAAATATTAAATATGTGACCGAAGATTTTATTGTATGTTGAAAATTAAAAAAATCATTATTGTGAAGACTGGTTAAAATATTCGACATTACATATATGTACTTTTCACATCAATTGGAGCTATAATAAGGCTAGAGAGTATAATATTCGATTGGATATAACTTTGCATATTTTTTATTTTGTTAAAACCTTTATATTATTGTAAAATGGAAGACAATAGCAGTATACAAAAAAAAAAGGAATAAACTTTAATCGAAATAAAAAAAAAATGTTGGATTATATGATGGATTTATTTCGATTACAGTTAATACATTTATTTTGTATACCGCTATTGTCTTCCATTTTACAATAATATAAAGGCTTTAACAAAATAAAAAATATGCAAAATTATATCCAACCGAATATTATACTCACTAGCCTTATTATAGCTTCAATTGATATGAAAAGCACATATATGTAATGTCGAATATTTTAAAAAGTCTTCACAATAATGATTTTTTTAATTTTCAACATACAATAAAATCTTCGGTCGCATATTTAATATTTATTTATAATTATTTTTTAAATATAGAAACGAATCATTCACCCATGAACAATGTTGAAATTAACCTCTGCTTGACTGGATCGTCTGTTAGCTTGCGCACCCGCAATTGATTTTGTTCCATTTGTTCCAAGGTGACATTGGGATACAATATTCGTACCATTGTGAGTCTACAGGCTTACTATAAAGATTTAATTTTCAGACTAATTATGACAAAATCGGATACCGATATCTTTTTATATAACATCTGTAAGTGTAATACGTCAGTTAAAACTTACACAAATATTGTAACTTCACAAAGATCTCACACATCACTGTCGTGGTATATTCTAAAGTTCTAACAAGTATCAGTTCACAATACTGTACCTAGCAACATAATATGATTATTTTGAATATGATCCACCCATCGTAGATCTATGTAACTGCTATGCATTGTAGCTTAAGACTCACTGATTATACGTGATTTTTTTGGTTGGTGTATCTCGAGAAATAACCACAAAAAAACACCCTTCATTTTTTCAATTTTTTTTCTCACTGTTTATATAGTTGAAAAACTATGAAAAAAATATGCAATATAATTCTTATCAGTAGCTTTCATATGCCGTTGGATTTATTCAAATATCTATCATAGTTTTATAGAAAAATGATTTTGAAGTTAAGGGTTGCAACCCCATTTTTTTTTAAATGAGCAAAGATAGAGCTCTGATAATTGGTCAAAAGTTATTTCTATCAACAAGCAACACACTGAAGACACCACTGTTAAAAAACACGCCAGTGCAGATTTCACGTGGAAACCCGGTGAGACCCTTTCCATAGGCCACCGAACTTCATTTAGTCCTCTTTTGAAAAACTTTGTAACTATATAAATTAATTTTAAAATCCTGATTCTGTACATGAATTAAAACATTGAAGTTAGGTTATAACATTAAAAGGGACAGTGAAATTGCGGCGTATTAAGCGGACAATGTAATAAGCAGTATGAATAATGATGTTTGATTTTGCTTATTACATTCTACTTTCATACCAAAAATGGCATGACTAAGGTTTTAGGAAATTTTCTAGTGGCTTTAAAAATGTATGTTTTTTAAATACAATGTGCTGGACATTTTTAAGAGAATTTTTTTTAAGTGGTATCTGTTACTATGGTGTGGTGTTCTACAAGTTCCATGATAAGCTTTAACAGATGGGAGTTGGTTTAATTTCAAACATATTTTCTTATATAGTGTGTCACTCTTTATAAAAAGTTCTGCCTCTCGAAAAAATGAGACAGTCATACAACATCTTAGATTAGATATACAGGGTTAAAAAGAGAGAAGTACCATTATTTATTATTTTACACGATTTTTGATAAAACAAATCTGTTTATAACCTCAAATAATGTCTTAATACAAATTTTAAAATCAAAATTTTAATTTTGACCTTTACTCTGTTACATGCACCTCCCACCTCAATACATTTTTCCGTTAACTTAATAAATTTTTCGTATACTTTGCGAATAGTTTGAGGCCCATTTATTCATTTATGCGCTCTTTTAATACATCCCTATCACGTGGCAGATCGTTTGAATAAACCTTTTGTTTTAGGGCACTCCAAAGAAAAAAGTCAAGGGGTGTAATTAACTTTTTTAATTACATATGCAGGGTTATCAAATGACGACTNTTATTTAGTATTATCTGTAATATGGTTGTACAGTGATCTGTGATATTACTTTGTAAAACTATGGGGAGAATATATTCTAATAAACTATTATTTTTTGACTTAATAAAAATATGATTAATGCATGATTTTGAGTTTTTTGTTATTTTTGTGGGCTCGTTTATAGTCGATGTAAAACCTAATTCACTCATTATATTACAATATTCTACAACATAATCTGTCATGGATGATAATAAATTTATATTTATATCCCCTACAAAAAGATAATGCTCATTTGTAAACTCGAAAGTTTAAAATATTAAAAATATAAGGATTATCAGCTGGTGACCTATATAATGCCAGTATATCTAAACTAAGATGTTTGTATAACAGCCTCATAAAGACTGACATTTTTCGATAAAGTCAAAAATGAAAGAGTTTCTCCTCTTGTCAACTCCATCCGTGGACACACGCGATCTCGAACACGTGCAGATTGACTCAGAATTTATGGTTAGCTGATATTACAGGAAAATGGAAAGCATATAAGAAACTGAGAGAGCAGGTCTTGTATAAACCTTAAGACTACATATATTTTGTTAAAAATGTCCACCCTAGGCTCGAATGCAAGCCTTACATCGGCGAACTAAAGATTCCGTCACTGAACAGATGAGATTTGGATCATTTCTTATATGGTTAGCTGCATCCTGAATTCTTTCAAGTAAATGCTGACGGGTAGTGATTTCAACATGGTAGACAAGCTGCTTCATATGTCCCTTAAAGGATTTAAATCTGGGGAACGCGGTTTAACATTTAACCAAGCAGTTACTTGTCTTCCTCTATTTGGTGGCGCACCATCGTGCTGATACCCCATATGTTGAACAATATTAAGCCCTACGCCATCAATGAAATCAAAAATGTTGTTTTCCAATAAAGTTCTATACAGATCTGCATTGAAATGATCATTTAAAACAAGTACAGGCAGTAAATTATTGTTGAAAATGCTAACCCAAACGTTGACATTGAAATGATGCTGAAATCGTCTTGATCTAATTACATGCGGATTTTGTAACGCCCAGATATGTTCATTATTATTTATGCCATCCTTAGTAAAACACGCTTCATCAGACCCCACGACAAGCGAAATGAATATATCATTTTGTGCATGTTGTTGAAGTAACCATAAACAAAATTCTAAACGCTGAGGAGCATCTCCAGCATGTAACGCTTGTACATTTTGGCGATGAAACGGATGTAACATTTCTCTGTTCAATATACGCCATACAAAATTTGGTTATAAATGAAGATTACTTGCTATACGCCTAACAATAATTGAATTCCATTTTTACATTCAATTCAGTAGGAAGAATACCCTTTTTTGGAGCAGGGCTTCCTTCTTCTCGAAGGTTGATGTCTATGGGGGTATCTTCGTCGGTATTCTCGGGCTGCTTGTATGGCGTTCCCGTTGGAATACCCATTTACAGAGAAAGTATCTGCATAGCCTTCAGTTGTAAATAAATGCATGTTTTATTTAACACTAACAAAATGACACAAATAATAATTATTGTTATAGCAACCATTACTTTTGTTTATCAGGCTTTGATTTAAATATGAAATTATAAGAAAAAATGTTTGAAATTAACCCTGCTACCATCTGTCAAAGTTTGTCATGGAATTTTGTAGAACACTCTGTATATAAACGTATTAAACCTCACTCCTCACTGATCTTTTATTACATTGTGCAAACAAGACATCGCCGAAAGTTTGCCAAATATATGATGTGCGAGCCGCTGTAGAATAGTTTCAGAGGTTGATACTGTTGCTATTCAAGGCCATAGACCGGACCTATTGAACAGTGTAAAAAAGTGACATTACACATAAATCGGACAAAATATTTTAAAGTTGTTTGGAAAAAAAATTTTGACCCCAGGAATATGTGTCAGTTTCCTGTATATTCTACCTATGTGAAAAAAAAATAAAGCAATAACTACCTAAAGCCAGTATCGAATATGTTATTGATACTATATAGAACCTTCTATTTAGTGATTTTGGATATCCATAAGAATTATTCATAATTTTATCGATCCTACACCATAACGTCATTAATTTGGGCCAAGAACGAGCTAGATCTACATACAGTATTAGAGTCACCAATGCCGATGAATAGAATATAGTTATACCTGGAAATAATAATAATAATTGTAATAACATAATTGTAATAGCATTAATAAAAATTAAATGACCGAAGTATTATTCAAATTTATTCAACTGAAAGTATAAATATTTTCATACCATACTTTTACTTATTTTTATTAATTTATTGGATACATCGACCGGCAGCCATCGGCAGGTTGAGAACATTAAAATAATGTAAATCACTATCAATACTAAAACAGAAACATTTTTCTAATATCGATTTTAGTGCAAAAAGTATGTCAATCTGCAAGTTATTTTAGTTAGTATACATAAAAATGATTTTAATGTCAGTGCACGGAATCGGAAAATGAAATGTAATACTAGATCTTGCTACATAATTTCTGGAAAATCGTATTTGAAAATTTTCTGAGAAGATCGCTTTGAGATATTCCTATATGAGGAACTACTTCCAATTTTGACCTTATAAGACTTAAAAAGGGTAAATAAATATTGGTTCTGAAAAGCCTTGTTTCTATGACAAATCTTACATTTTTGGAAACAGACGAAACTACCCTTTTAATATGTGCGACAAGTGTCACACCTAGAACAAAAAAGTATTCAGGACACGTGAGGGACGATCCATTTTGGTCGGTCCATCCATAGTCAAATTCAACGGCATGATTCCTACAATGATAAGAAACAATATGTTTCTTAATATTTAGCGGAAGTTTGTTTTTACGACACCATTAGATTTTGTTCAAGTTATTTTGAATCCGCCATTAATTAAAATTATAATTAAAAGAAGGCCCAATATGGAGCCTTGAGGAACTCCAGAAGCTGCCGCGATTGCAACATTTATTCTATCAGGGAATTAATTTAATTTGTTAATTAGCATACTGTGATCTTATTAAATGCCTTTGAAAAAACAGACACATCAACCAATAGGTACATAAGGATTTACTAAGCTCGAAGTAGTGTGCGATATAGTAAAATTGGTAAACTTTGAGCAACCGTGGATAAGTCTATTTTGACTATATATAATTTGACCCTGTACGTGGGGTATGTAAGGCCTTCTAGCATTCCTCCCAGGCCTGGAAGCATAGCCTCCAGGAGTGTATATACTCGGGAGGAAAATGTTCGACGAATTGTACGAATATGTTCAATAAATGATTTTTTTATGAATTTGGTCGCATTACTTATTGAACTTACCTTATATAACCATGAAACTCTGAGGAATTGAGTGTGTAGTACTGTTGTAACATCGTAAAGTCACCCAAGGCTTTTGTTTGTATATACACTCAAAAAATGTAATAGTACTTCCTTGACTGTACAATCAGTGATTACGAGTTTTTGAGATCAAAATCTTCAAACAACAGGTATAGAGGTTATAGAGTTATGAGGTTATGGTACAACGAGATTATGAGTTCTAACGTTTTTCCGTGTCACTGACTACTCAAGTCGGTTCGAAATCGTGAAACCCCATTCTAGAAGAGTTTCTTAATGGGATAAAAAAGAATTGATTCAGGAGTTCTTTAGGAGGACTTTAAATTGGAATTCAGATTTTATCAGAGACACTGGCCTGGGCTATAACCCAGCCCATTTTTTATTATGGCGCATTATTTTTGTCAGTNGAGCAACCGTGGATAAGTCTATTTTGACTATATATAATTTGACCCTGTACGTGGGGTATGTAAGGCCTTCTAGCATTCCTCCCAGGCCTGGAAGCATAGCCTCCAGGAGTGTATATACTCGGGAGGAAAATGTTCGACGAATTGTATGAATATGTTCAATACATGATTTTTTTTATGAATTTGGTCGCATTACTTATTGAACTTATTTATATAACCATGAAACTCTGAGGAATTGAGTGTGTAGTACTGTTGTAACATCGTAAAGTCACCCAAGGCTTTTGTTTGTATATACACTCAAAAAATGTAATAGTACTTCCTTGACTGTACAATCAGTGATTACGAGTTTTTGAGATCAAAATCTTCAAACAACAGGTATAGAGGTTATAGAGTTATGAGGTTATGGTACAACGAGATTATGAGTTCTAACGTTTTTCCGTGTCACTGACTACTCAAGTCGGTTCGAAATCGTGAAACCCCATTCTAGAAGAGTTTCTTAATGGGATAAAAAAGAATTGATTCAGGAGTTCTTTAGGAGGACTTTAAATTGGAATTCAGATTTTATCAGAGACACTGGCCTGGGCTATAACCCAGCCCATTTTTTATTATGGCGCATTATTTTTGTCAGTGTAGATACAAATAGAAGAAATCCAAAGTGACTTTGCAATATAATACATATTAGAGCTATAAACGAGATAAAAAAGACGGTTATTTTTATTAAAAATAGTGGTTAATTCTTAAACTTTAATAAAACAGTCCAAAGCTATAACTTGGAACTGTAAATGTGACATGTTATTGGACTGATTTAATTAAATATTCCAAAACTCGACAAAGCATTTAGAGTACTAGGTAATTAAATTTAATAACTCGTTATAGACATTGTAACGAAAAATACATAGTAATTATTTTCATTAAAATATTACCTAGTGAATTAAAGACGTATCCAGCATAAAACCAATCCAACAAACATAAAGTCGATGCAAAACTCGTCATTCCAATAAATAACAGAGTATAAAGAACTTTCCAACTCTTCCATCGAAACCGTAGTTTATTTGGAACTGTAATGTTTTCCACAGGCAAAATTCCCAAGAACTGGGAACATATAACAAAGAACTTCAAAGAGTTAAGTATATTTTCTCGGCTCTCCTTCACATATTTGGGTTTTATGTTGACGTTAAATACGTTTTCTTGTGGAATTACATACACCATTACAGCCTTTGACGTTTCCGGTTCAAGTTAATGAAGTAAAATAAATTTAATGCATGAAGTATGGCTTCATTGCGTGCTGCTCCAAATGCGCCCTTAAACAATGTTACAATAATTAATGTCAATAATTTTTAGTTATTATTTTTATTTTATCGTAAGGGGCGTATCCGAACGTGACATTCGATAATAAATTTGTTTTTTCATGTTCTATTTTCCGACGAAACGCGATTAATTATGGAATTTATACAGGATGTCAAAATAAACTGATATATTTTACTGGATAAAGAATACCTCTTTAAACGCTCGCTTAAAAAAAAAAATAAAAATTTGAAATACTAAACGAAATATTGCTCTATTTTAACCAAATTTGTCTTATAACTTTACTCAAGTCTTTTTAAATCATACTTGAGCAACAGAGTACAGTATGTTAATCTTAATGGTGTTACTTCTGATTTACTTCCCGTTACATGCGGTGTTCCCTAAGGATCTGTGTTGGGGCCGATTTCATTTTTGCTCTACATAAATGACTTACCCATGTCACTGTCTGACACTGAGCGTATTTTTCTTGCCGATGGTACTACCTTGCTTAGTAGAGGTGTGAGCTTTTTATATGATGATGGTTTGAATAGTGCTAAAATTTGGTTCGGGAGTAATAAACTGAAACTCAATGAAGCTAAAACTAAAAATATACTCTTTAGTTCTGATAAAAGGACCGTACTCCAGTCGGCAGAGGCCGAAAAGTTACTGTTGGTGACATTTTCTTGATAACTCGGAAATAACTACACAGGAATACTTTAAATGATGAGTACAATAACAGGCTAATTTGCTGACAAAGTATTTTATCAGGAAAAAAGTTAGTAACAATTTAATCGTGAAAAAAATTTTTTTTAGTAGTTTTCTTTAAATAACTCAGCGGGATGACTTTGTACGAAAAAATGCTTAGGACATGATTTTGTTCGTAATAAAAATAGCTACAAAATGGCGGTGGTCCGATTATGAAATTTGCAATAACAAAGCCGTGAGATTGAAAAAACGGTATAAAACGCCAATTTTTTTAAGTTGCTGTAAAAATGTCAAATATAAACAAAAAGTGATAAAACTTTCGAAAACTATAGTTCAATATATATACAATAATGACGCTAAAGCCGAAAATCAGGAGAGCAAAACTTTTTATTCTATAAGGTTTTATACATCCATCGGCATCTGAAACTCGAAACTTTGCCAAATTTGTTCGAAGCTTTGCTGACACTTGAAATTTGGTATACACATTGTGTAAATATGCAGAAACCAATTGCAATTTGCAAAATCAAGTATCTTCATTTTTGCAGTTTTGGTAAGATTTTATACGTCACCGTTTTTTTAATTTTTGGACGCATATTTATAAAATATTCCATGACTAAGGTCACTTGGTCCAAATCTGATTACTTTGACTCACCTTTGAAGTAATGTCCATTCGCTAAGAACGCCCCGTATTTTGATAATTAAAAGTGTATTTAATTTAAAACAGTGATAATCGTCAATTGAAAAACATAATAATTATTAACTGATGATATTGAAGGAAAGAATAACTTTGTGGACCAACTGGTCAGTGTTATAAACTTATTAGTTTTCATTGTGACAAACTGATGTGAACTAATAACTTCTAAACTGATATACATCTAATGATGTTACTGACGAATGGTCCTAATATTTCCTAAATATTGAGGTTTTAATTTAATAGACCGGGAGATATTAGACTGAAGTTCGACGACGTCTTTCTCGTTTATGCCTCTGAGAGTACTGAAAGGTAACCGAAAGACAAGTACAATAAACTAAATTTAAAAGATGGGTTGCGGGACACCTTTGTGAAAATTCGTTAAAATTGACACTTTAAAACCTAGGATTTTAAACTTTAAACAATAAATATACACAAAACATTTCACACTCAAATATTTTTAGGAACAATTTTGTTTTTCCTATTATGTTTCCAATAAATTTCCAATTGGATTTAATATTTTTTTGTTTTTTCTACGCAAAAATAAGGAAGGTCCTTAATTTGCTTTGCTAATCACAAGTTACGATTTTGTGCTGCTATTCTAGCTGCCTATTTTATAATACGAAATGGTGTACAGTGTACAAAATAATGTGTACAGCGACGTATTTCTCACTTATGCCATGTTCATAAGTTGAAGAGAAGTATCGATTATATAACAAATTTTTTTTGGCATAAGTGCCGCAAGGGACCTAAAAATGGAAAACTTTGTAAGAAAATGTGAAAAACATCTTTATTTGTCTACCAATTTCTCATTAATGCCAATTAGAAATATGACATTATTATATTTAAAAAGCTCATAAAGAACATTTGCATAAGTCTTACTAAGGACTAAAGAAAATAGGGCTTTGGAAAAGCTACGGAAATTTTTTTTCTCGTGAATAAATTAAAGCTTATTGCAAAGAAAAAAGTGAAAATATTCATTTTTTAAAGGGCATAAGTCCCTGGTGAGGACTATATGCTAAAATTTTTTTGAAAAGTTGTAGGAAAATTAATGAAAATTGTTACGTCTATCTCGCTTATGCCATTTTGCATGCATGTAGGAAACTACATTATAAAGTCATATAAATGTAGGCATATGTCCACATTGGATTTTCATGTTGTAAATTATTTTGAATTTTAATACGAGTCAGGTAGACAAAGTAGAAAAATAATAGAAAATTTCCACAATTTTCTCGTTTATGCCGCTTCGTACACGAGTAGAAAATATTATTAAAAGCCATTTTCAAGAGTGGCATGGTACCGTCGTATGTAAAAATTTTTAAAAAGTTTATTTCATCGCCTACGCAATTTTCGAAATACTTATACTTATTTTTAATTTTATAAATATAAGTAATTCATGTATTTAATGAAAGTTAATAATACATTATTTCGGTATAAGCCCGCCCCATTTTAGAAACGATTTTTAATAATTTTTTGAGTCATGATCAGAAAAAGAAAAATTATATAATATTGCCACAAATTTCTCGTTTGTGCCTATGAGTAGAGTATTTTATCACAATAGACCATACGTATTTATGAACAATATATTTAAATTTTAAACATTAAAAATATTATATAATTTGAATTAACCGCTACAGTGCAAGGATGATCTACTTGAATTGAGCCGACTANGGATTTAAAAAAGGTAGGTGCCTGGCATGTTTATTTGCCACTCTGAGTTGTTGAAAAGTCGGAGTGGTGCGTATTTTGTTGGAACGGTCATACCGTTGGCAGTCTGTGCCATTTGCCCATCCTTTTTGCCGTTGAAACGTGTGGCCTTTCATGCCGGAACAATCACGCGAAATTTAATAAAAAAAAAAAAACAAAGTAATAATAAAAAAAACAACGTAACAATGTCACTACTCATACAATTCCGACTCCGGTATTCCGATATGTTAATACAATCCATTAACAGAGGGCAGCACAATTTCTCTAACGTGAGGAGCAGCCCTAGAAAGAGTGATGCCAGATCTACATATTTTTTTGGAATTTGGGGAAATAGGAATTTTTCTTTATTTCTTGGTCATTTTAAAAAGTATACTTAAATAACAACTAAATGAATTTTAAATGCAGCTGAGCACTATACTCCATTTGAATAACTTCTCAGTAGGGGAAACAAGGTCACGAGATTTACAAACAGAGGTATCTACTAGCTACTGTAAAAAGTTTTCTATGTTACGCTCTTTTTCTTGGTGGCCACTATGTGGCGTGTATGAATTATGATTTCGGAATAATCCCAGAATCCCAGATTTCTGTCAAGCAAGAGTATACAGACAGACTAGCTCTGTGGATTAGCTCGAGCATAGACTGTACAAAATTGATTTTTTGTTAAATATTTGTAAAAATATATCAGTTTTCGAATGAATAAAATATCTGACTTAACCATGTACATCACTAATTCCTTCAATTTAATACTAATTGAATTGAAAAATCGCTGACAACTTAGTTGTCAGAATGCTTCCTCAAAGAGTTAGAATTACAAATTTTTAATTATAATTAACACAAACAATAACACTTAAAATAATACAAATTTTTATTGACTTAAAAGCATATCAAAAATATGAGTTTTCGGTTTTATGATTTTTCACATTTTAGGTATGCCTACTTGGCACAGTACATTATTTATAGTAAGTATCATAAATTTTCAACGGCATAAATGAGAAAGTTATAGAATGAAAATAAAAATATTCCGCAGCTTTTCCAAAGCTCTATTCTCTTTAGTTCTTAGTAGGACTTATGCCAATGTTTTTTATGAGCTTTTCGAATATAATAATGTCATATTTCTAATTGGCATTAATGAGAAATTGGTAGACAAAAAAAAAGTTTTTCACATTTTCTTACAGTTTTCCATTTTTAGGTCCCTTGCGACACTTATGCCAAAAAAATTTTGTGATAAAATCGATACTTCTCTTCAACTTATGAACACGGCATAAGTGGGGAATACGTTCGCTGTACACATAATTTTTTTGAAAAGGAAATTCGAATTTTCACAAAGGTGTCCCGCAGCCCATCTTTTAAATTTAGTTTATTGTACTTGTCTCTCGGTTATCTTTCAGTACTCTCAGAGGCATAAACGAGAAAGACGCCGTCGAACTTCAGTCTAATATCTCCCGGTCTATAATGTTGGTCGAGGCGTTCTTTCCTTTAAGATATCAGTTAAAATTGTTTTCGACATTTAGTCTTCCTTTCATAGCAAAGCATCTGCGAAATAGTCGAAAGTAGCAAGTCGGTCTCTCTCAGTTTTCCCAGTCAATTTGCATTAATCATGTTCTGTTTACGTTTTCCGATTTTTTTTTAAGATTTTATGAAATGTTTACTTATTTTTTCTGTTACTCTGACTTTATATTATATCTATTTTATAAATTATTATTTCCTTCAAACTGAACTATATTTTCACAATTTCTTACACATGTAAAAAAAATTCGATTTACTGATGGCAGGTAGGAACATCACAAAATAAGGGTACAATAGATATCATATTTTTGTTATATCTTAAAAGTCTTTCGAAATATGTTATTCATATGTTTTTAGCCTTAGAGCATCTACATACTAACATAGGCAGTATTATTCAATTTCCATATATTGGCTAAAGGGTAGTCTTAAAGTCACTGTTATATTCCTAAAAGGCATCCTTATGTTTCCTGTAATCTCCGTCTTGAAAATACCGGGAGACAATTTAAGACCGCCCTGTATTATTAAATATGTTATTCAAATGAAATGTAAAATAATATTTTCATAGTCGGTATGAAGATATGATTGACTAAAATCATAACAAAACCCACTATTAATGCGGGAAAAAATTGATAGACAAGACTTTAACGAAAAATCTTGACAGGAGACTAGAGATATGGTTAGAGGTCGAAAAATTCACAGTACACAAACCGTGCTGTATCCATTTCTAGCTTTGGCGCAATGTTTTGCTGTTTTTCCAGTATCGGGGTTAAAAGGAAACGATTTCAGGACCATCCGTTTTTCTTGGCGATCGAGACAGTCAATATACGCTTTGCTATATTTAATTTTTAGTTTGATAAATCTATGTTTCTACCTTATGAAACATCTAAATAGCTTGGAGTCCCTCTCATCGTTTGGTAACACATAAAACGTATGGTTATTTTTTTTTATTGAATGTATTTTTCAGTCGGATTAATATATTTTACAACAACACTACTTATACAAATATTTTTCATTGACTTAGCTAGACAATGGCCATGTTTAATGAAAAAATGGGCAGAAGTGGATTCATCAATGAGATCGTATGCATATTCAAGCAATTTATATAAAAAATTAAAAATTACATCAATTTTCGTAATGCTAGCTGCATTTGGTAAGTACCTACATTTATTAGTTTTTAATATGAAATTAAACTGTTTTAGGTGAACATGGATTATTTGTCGCAAATAAAATTGCTGTTATAGAGACAAATGTGACTAAAGCAGAAATGATTGAAATATATTTCAGGAGAAATTATAATCAAATCTTTAAAATTATTCCATACAATCTTTGGTTTGGCATATTCGTAGAGGTAACTCTAAAAAATTTTTGAAAGCAATTGCTTTTGTTTTTAACAAAAGCTTTATGTGGTTTTAGATTTTTGAAGTGTACTCTGTATTCACTTGGAACTATAATGACCTCTTTATAATGTTGATAAGTATAACACTTTCAGAAAGGTATTCGCAAATTGGCAACAAAATTAAACTAATGTCAAAATACAAGGCAAGTATTTTACATTACGGATATTTCATTATACAGGGTGATTCAGTCATAATGTCATTAATTTTAAGGGAACATAGGGAAAGATGAGTAGAATACAAATCCTCGATTAAAACAATTTTAAATTGCATATTTACGTTGGAAGAAAATAATTTCAAATCATTATTTAAACCCCTTTTTGGACCAGTCCTGGTAAACTCGATGTCGGCCTGAAGCGACGTTGCCAAATTTAAATATTTTTCTAGTATTAGACATCTTAAATAAACAGTTTTATTGACTATCTTAGAAACTTATGTTTTTTCTTGCTCACTTCAGCCAATAATAATTTAAAATGTTAAAATATGTATTAATTAATATATGTATATTAATGACTTGCTTGCCTTTGCCGAGCATGCCTTGCCAAAAAATATTATTAACATACTAATGTTAATTTTGCAAGCAACTACTGCTGGTGAGATTCCAGGTATGCCATATCTCAATAACCAAACATGGGACATAGAGAACTTTTGTAGAAGGAGACCGATTTTACAATTTACGAAAACAAGTTGAAAAAACTATGTTCCTCACTTAGAGGTTTTTAGATTGGCTTCTTCAATTATCGCAAAATATTTTGATCATAAATGTCAAATTCAAGTTTATCGAAGTATTTAAAATTTTATTATTTAAATGATGAACAAATATTTTCAAAATATATTCAAGTCATTTTGTCGTTGCTCTGCGGTATCAAAGACCCGATATCGCGAAGACGTTGAAAAACTCGCACGAGGATTCGCGGACTCGGAAAATGTTGTCTACGAGGGAAACACCTCCGATATTCTGCTGTGGCGGCATTCGCATTTCTCCATATAAAACCACCATTTCCGCATATTCAAAATTCGAAAAATTAGCCGTTACGACCGACACGCGAAACAATCCAAAATAAACTGCAGGTTGTATTGCATTCTGCATACTTCTACACATCCTCTCTCCATATCTATAACGCGTGATCTACAAATCTGTGGGAAAACAATGCGGAAGATGCTATTAATAGTGGTAGATTTGAATATTTTATTATTATTTATGTGGTGCTGATGTGGCAACGCTGTTGCGCTTCTATGTTCGAACGGTTTATGGTCTCAGTCAGAAAACGTAAGGGTGCCGAATTGGCGGGAGTTAAGGGGTAATTTACTTACTGAAAAGGTTAAAAAAACAAATTTATTTTATTAGGCCTTCCGAGTTAAAATTAATGATATTATGACTGAATCGCCCTGTTGCTAATAATTAATTTATTTTTAGATTATCGATAGATCACATTGGCAATCTGTTCGAGAGGACTATATTAGATTAAATGCACTTTGCAAACTAACCAACCATTTAATGACAAATATCATTGTACTTTCTTTCATGCATAACTTATTTGTGGTCCTCATACAGTTTATGTATACACTTCACTAGTAAGTAGGCTGTTTTAGTTAATTTATTAATTTTTATCAGTACAGAAACTATGACTATGACAGTTTACCCCCCCGTCCAAGAATTGAAATAACGTACAAAGACGTTTGATGGTTCAAAATTTTTATGTTATGCGTAGCCACTTATTTTGTGAATCCAATATGGTGACACTATGTAGCTTCACTTTTAATTTTCTGAATATCAGTATATTCAACAACAAAAGGGCTTTGTTCGTCTAAAAATAGTCAAATCACACTGGTACTTCACAATTATTAAATAATATTAAACCCTTGAGCCTAAAACCTAGGTACATAAGTTAGAAAATTTATAAGAAAAAGTACAAGGAACTTTTCTAATCATTTTTTGTGATTGCAGATACTATACCATGAAACCTGAATAACTTTATTACAAGAACAATAAAGAGTATATGTTTTGTATGGACCTATAAAACAATAAATTCCTAAGATAATAATCAAATAAATGTTTTTTTTTTACAGCGAAAGTAATCAGATGTTTATACGGCGTGTTTACTTTATATATTCCTTTGGATTTTTAATAATTCGCACAATCTGTGTATGTTTGTTTGCAGCAGAAATAGATTGTGAGAGCAGGAATCCTTTAGATGTACTAACTTCTCTTCCTTCGAAAATTTATAACATTGAGGTATGTTACTTTAATTAGATTTTTAAGAAGATCGTTTTGTATGTAGTACCTAAAAATTAAGAATTCTCTTAACGTTATCACTAGGTAACATTTTGATCTACAGGGTGATTTCCAAGTTGATACAATTTTAGATGCATATATAAAACAAATTAAATTAAAAAAAGATTAATATTTTGTTTACGTAACTCAAATACAATAAGGAAAATATACAGGGTGATTCAGAACTTATCCAAAAAAATTTTTAGATGTACAGGGGACTCTTACAAATACAATTTTGTACAGAAAAAATCAAAAATTGCAGTTCGAAAATGATTTAAAAGTGCACTTCTGCACAGTACTGGAAACTGGTCCACTGTAAAAGCTGACCTCGTACAATGCGACCGGCACGGTCGCAAAGTATGATAAAAACGGACAAAAACTTGAAAGAATTTCGCAAGTAAATAGAATTTTATAACACCTATTTTATATCAGCAAATTCAACTGCTTTTGCCGCTATTACTATTATTAATTAATAAAATTAATTTGTGGTTTGAATTAATAAAATAATTTGACATATCTGTTACCTGTTACAACAACTGTTCAAAATTTTGTTCATCGACGTGTAAACACATTTGGGCTCGTCTAACCCAGTTTCTACGAACTAACACAAATGTTGTACTACTTCACCATAACACAAATGTTTCACCATAATACAAATGTTGTTTTACTTCACCATAAATTAAAACGATATCAACTCCGAGTTGCTATCGTTACACACGTACACGCAAACCATTTTTGACACTAACTACTAAAAAACTATTGTAAACGCCACAGATAACAGGTAAACGCTATTGCAACGACGATTGCAAAATCAGATTTCAGTATTCAGAGTCGCTGAGGCCACGTGGTTCTCCACGCGTATTGCGAATTACGCTAGAGACTACAGTTGTCCAGCTATGTAGTGGTTGAATGTACTAATACTTCAATATTTTTTTTCTTGGAAACTATAAGGATTTTACAAATTTTTTTTTACTATATTGACTCCATTTCTCCTGCCGCATCTATTCCCAAATTTTTTTGGATAAGTTGTGATTCACCCAGTATAACCGCCAAAAGTTTCCTTGTATCGAATTATTTATAACGTAAAAAGTTTATTTATCCTGTTTATTTTTTGTAATGAAGCATGTGTGTCATATATATCTAATGTCATGTCATTATCGCTTAGTTTATAGTCAATCAGCCCGTTGTATTCTTTATATCAAAATTTGTTTTTGTAAATGAATATCACTCTGAAAGATGAAAAAATCCTTATTGACAGTTAAATTTTTTTCGAAAAAAACGTTACAAAACGTTTTATATTTCAGATAGAAAGATTTATAGTACATATTGCAAAGGATCCGGCCCACTTAAGTGGTGGTGGCTTCTTCATCATATCAAGATCACTTTTGTTACGTGTAAGTTTTTTTATCTTAATCTTAATAACTATATTGAGTTTATTATTGGTTTTCAGATAGCTGGAGCTATTGTTAGTTACGAATTAGTTTTAATACAAATGTATACTATCAAATAATGTATTTTGCAAAGCTGACGAATGAAATATAAAAAAGTAATAAACTAACTATATGTATATTAAATCACATATTTTGGTTTTCTATTTTATTTTGTATTTCTGACAACAAAAAAGGATTTCCTACCTAAAACACTAATATATACTAGACTAACAAAATCCTGATTTATAAAAGACTATAAGCAGTTTAGGTGGGAAACTTTTTACTGTCTACGCCGTTCTTTACAACAAAATAACTGAGTTTAATCAGGGTGTTTTGGAAAAACGTATAAATTCAGAGGTTGATAGAACAACAACAAATAAGACAATTTTTTTCTATGGACCATGAACTTATTGACTTTTATTTTGACAAGACAACAAATGCGTTTATCTTTAATTAAATTTTAGTCAAATCTTTTTTAAAATACAAAATAATGCATTGAAATTTAATAGAAGCTCTGAGAGTGATACATATGTCAGCATTATTAGTTTTTTACCATCAGCTAGAGCTGCTAGACAGGTACCTAATTAACTAAGAGGTTACCAAGTGACATTTTATTACATAGCTCTTTTGTGGTTGGCCATATGGGTGGATAATGCAATGTAAATTTTTATTTTTCATAAAAAACGTACCTACTCTGGTTATTAAAATCGCTAAAATTGAACCGTTTCTGAGAAAAACGCAATTGACTGTATTAAAGTCGAACAGACTTTACTCCATAATATACAGGGAGTCCTGAAATGAATGGGTAAAACTTTGAGGGCCCATTGGATAATAATAAACCAATTTAAGTTAACTTATCTTTTGGATTTGTGATACATTTTCCAAAACACCCAGTACAAAAATAAAAATCAATAGTAGGTATATTTTGCACTACCAAAAATAGTATTTCCTATCAAGTTTTGTCAACTGTTAAATTTATTAATGATTACATTTTTAGTTGCTTCCACAGAGTAATACATATAAGATGACATTTTTTGTCGATTTAAAAAAACTGTTTTTAGATTCTTTTCAAACTAAGTTAATTCATGAAAATTTAGTTAGTTTTTTTAATTAAGAAAACTTACATTTTCATTTTCGTTTTAAGAGCGAGAAATTGTCAGTTTCTTATTAACTGAGCAATGAAAAAATCTTTAATTTTGTATGAGTAGAAAAACATTCTTCTAACCAACGCTGTGAAAAAAATTACTCAATTTCACTTAATTTTACTCAATAATGAATCAATATTTCTGTCCTCACCCAATTGAGTGAAATTTTCACTCTATTAGTAGGTATGAGTATAACTAAAATTTTATGAGTGAAACTATTGCAACAGAAGTGACTGAATTTTACTTAAATTCGAGTTTCTGCTAACTATCAAGTGAGTGACTTTTGACTATTCTGAGTTTCTAAGACCAATTAATTTAACTATTATTGAGTCATTTTTTACTCAGGTTTGTTTTCTATTATTTTTAAATTTTAATTTAAATATCATTGTCATAAACTTCTAAGCTGCCACAGTGGTTTCGATACAGATCTGTTTGAGAGACAATATTTTACGCCTCGATTAAAAGAAATGTTTAACTAATCGGACGAATAGATTGCCATAACCTATATTGTACGTTACAAATATGTAAGTAAGTATAGGTAACAATCTAACTATCCGTTTACTTAATCAAATATTAATCCATCCTCAATATGTTATTGTTTTTAATTATTGTAATCAAACCACTGCATTTAAACATAATTTTCCCCAAAATAAATGGATAAACGGATACTTGTCCAGCACTACACGCCATACACCACGCCACGAGATATCCTAATGGGGGCGATGGGAATAGACAATCACAACGCACGACAACCATAGCATAGGGAGGGGTCACTTAATAATGGCATTTATTCTGATTTAGGTACAAATGTACCAAACACGAGTTTATTTGGAGAATTTATTTAACGGGTAATTATAATTTTAGTTAAAATACTCAATTTTAATTAAAATATTATCACACCGATTTTTTTTACAGTGCAACAAATTATTTTTTTGCTCTTTGTGAAACGAAATAAAATTGTGTACCCAAACAAAAATCACAGAAGTAAAAATATTTATATCTGACTAAACGGTTTGATATTTGTATGATAATTTACTTACCTTTCGAATATTTTTCTTCTTCTGAATATAATAAAATATTCAAGTCTTTGCTAGGTACCTGTGCAGAAATGTAAAATGATAAATAATAAATAGATATTTGTAATACCAAAAAGAATACCTATATTCAAAATAATATCTGTTGCACGGAGTTTTAGTAATTCTGATATGTAATATGTAGTGAACTTCATTGGGTAAGATAAAATAAACTACTAGCGATATTCAATGACGTAAATATTTTATTAGAGTGGCATTTGAAAACAACATTGAGTGCGAGTTGATTTAGTATTGTCAAATCGTTAATAAAAGCATCGCGTGCTATGTGGAGCGTATTTTACAAAATGAAACGACAGAACAAAATAGCAGCTGCTATTTCTAGGAACACAGCTCAAAAAAACATGTCTTTTCACGTCTCGATAAGAAATATATTGTTAACAGCACAAATTTTGGGATATATGCCTGTAAAAGGTATTTATTACCCGCAAATCTCAGGTGTAACATTTTCATGGTTATCTCGCAGAATGCTTTATTCGCTATTGACTCTAGCTGGAGCGATATTTTTGACAACGATTCAATTGAAGAAGAGCTTTTATGTTAAAATTAAAATGCCCGATATCCATAAGCTTTGTTTATATTTGATGGAAGTATGTTCTAGCATTTTGTTTATAAAGCTAGCTAGGGAATGGCCCCAGTTTATAAAAACTTGGAGTAGAATGGAAAATTCAATGGCTCTCTACGGATGGCCTCCTAAACTGAACAAAAAAATAAATAGTATCATTGTAGTATTCATCGTTCTTCTCTTGAGTAAGTAATGTCAATAGTTCAATTTATTTTATTATCTTTGAGTTACTCTTAACATATATCAGATACCAACAAAGCGAAAAATTTCTACTAATCATTATACCATCTAAGGTACGTAAAGAAAAACATTCACCTACAGTGATTAGAGATATCTTTATAGAATATACTTACAAACATACTTATTCAGAACATAGGAGAAAATCAATTTGTACATTGTATTTTGTTAATTCTAAAAATACTTATATACAGTGTATCTCCAAATGGGGTACCGCCCATTTGTAAATTATTTTAATGCTGATTTTTCGATAAAAAGTTTTGCTTATATCTTGGGAAGCTATGGGCAATAATCAAATATGTAATAAATTATACAGGGCGTGAAACAATTTCAAAATGTGAAATTTTCTTTAAGCAAAGTGCCTTTAATTTTTGTTTTCGTTAAAAACTGTATTTAACTCAAGAAAAACTTATATACGAGGTTTAGTCAGAAAAGATCAATAATCACATTTTCCAAACAAAAAGACGCCGGAATATTTAACTATCTTACATACCATATAATTACCATGGATATTTCCTTATTAATGTAAAAGTCAACATATTTATTTTATTAACTGCCCACCGAATAATTTTTATTAATAATGCTAATCCTGGTGCAACAAATTTATCGTGTGAAATGTTATGGAATCGGTAATGTTTCATATCGATATGATAACTCTGTAGCAGACAATCCAAAGATGTCACTCAGGAAAAGGTCAGAAAACGTAGATATTAGCAGGTCATATTCAAAGAATTTTAGTAGAAGATAGATAGAAGAAGATAGATAAAATAGAAGATAGAACAAAATCTATCATTCCAAATCAGTGTTTAATCATAAATTGCTTGATGGAGATGATGATCGTCAGTGGCGACTCGCCAGGTGACACAAATGACGCACCGCTTCACCTAAAATTTCCGTTTTTTATGCAATTTAAAATTATTTTTAATTTTATATAAATTTTATAATTTAGGTAAGTATAATTCTATATTGAAAATGTATTGTGTTTGTTTTATACACAGAAATGTGCGATGAACGCCTTCTAAAAAAAACATTGCCTTCGTTGAACGCGAAGATCAACCTCGTATAGCAACAACAACGTATACAACGTATTGCACAAATAAGTGACGCGGATCGAAATCAGTATGTATTCCGCTTCACTTCATAGCGTAGTTTAGGGCGGTTGTCATTGCAACGAGGCAGCCAACACGTGAGTAAACTACGGCGTGGGGGAACGAGTGACGTGGAAATTGAAGCAGCATCGCCATCGCCCATCGCCTACCTTTAAACAGTTTATACGATACATCTCCGTCGCCAGTGCACGATTACAACGGTTCTTTGTTAATATTTGTTTTGTATCAAAAATTGTAGAAATGTTTCCTATGTATGATCCAGTATGTATTTTATTGGAAACGTCTTTTTCCAGATGGAAAAAAAAGGATTTTTTAAATTGCGAGAGACCTGTGCCTTCTCTAGATGTGGAAAAAAGGGGAAGTATCTGTAGCTATTTTTATATCCACGAGCCGAACTAATAATTCTATTTTTTATAAAATCTAAATGAAAATCCTTCTCGCGGACGTCAATTTTTCGGTAATATTGCAAATGCAATTAAAAATCCCTAGATTCATTTAAAGCCGTTTGACCTTGAAAATTTGAAAAATTTTGCCTGCGGCACTTTCTTTTCTTTTTAGTCAATCATTGAATATGCTTCACCTATTCTCAATGTCACAAGCCGCCACTGTTTAACAATGGGTGAGAATCAGATTCTTTTATCACAATATTTTATTTATTGACGAATTTACATTCACAATTAATAGCCTGGTTTCCTCTCAAAATTGAAGATACTGGGTTAAGGATAATCAAAATATTCGATTGATAACTAATAGTCAAAAATTTAAAAAAGTAAATGTCTAGTGTGGCGTGGCATAATATATCATAAAATAATTGCTCCTTATATTTTTGGAAGAAAATCTTAAACAAAATTCCTAATTGGAAATTATCAATAATTTTGTTTTGGCAGAACTAGATAACGAAAATTTAGAGTTCATGAGAAAACTAATACCTACTTCAACAAGACGAATACCCTGTACATTCCACACTTCTAGTGAGAAACTGGCTTGACGTTCACTTCCCAATCAAGTGGATCGGACGCTATGGACCAATACCTTGGCCTGCACGGGCACTCGACTTGTCCCCATTAAATTATTTCCTATAGGAACATCTAAAGCAAAAAATGTATACAACCAATTTTGACGATAACATTAATATACTTAGGCAAGAAGTTCAGGAGGCTGTTTCCACCATAAATAAAGAAATGATCTCGCATATGCACTGTAGTATAACAACCTCGGGTTCGATCGAAAAAATAATATAAACGTAGTTGTGGCCAAAAATACGTCATCGTCATAAGAAATACCTAGGTTGTATAGATATATTTTTAATTGACCGAAAGGCGCTGGCTACTAACTTTAAAGAGGGGAAGTATGGTTTTAATTTTATAAAACAAAAGCGGAATAAATACACCTAACTTTATTATTTACGTACAACAGTCTTCAAATTAAACATGTGACAAATAGAAAGAACAACAAAAACATTAACAACCATTTAACATAAAATGTGAGTGCCAGGCTCACCTAGAGCTCCTGTGGGGAAAGAGGATGGCAGAGAAACCCACGATCGTTGCTCTAACTACCCAAATATAAATACAAAACAACCGGTGACAAAAGGCATAAACCTTTGCTAATGATGAATAACGCCCGACTTATCACTAAATGCCACCACACTCGAAATAAACATACACACTTCCAAATAAAACTGAAGAGGTTTGGTGTTAGTTAGCCGGCAGGGCCGGAAAGTACCGGAGTCCCATACGGGAGGCAATCCAGCTATGTGTTGAGATTTCGGAAGATCTGTTTTAGCTATTCTTTTTTTTTGTATTTAATTATTCTTTTTTTCCAGATTCGTGCCTCAAGGGCGAAAATGTTAGTAAATTCAACAAGGCTCTTATAGGCGTATGACATAAAGTGAGCACAAGAAACGCTTTATTAGTCGTTTTTCGAACAATGTAATCATGACAAAACAAGTTAGATGTGAAACAAAGGAGTTGTTATTGCAATATCTGGGCAATCACGACAATACATACATAACGAGCGTTCAAATAAAAACGTGGTCGAAGTTGGCTCTGACACATTGGACGTAGGGAGTAGCTTATAGCGACCAACTTAACCTCATTTCTCAACGAGCTGTATAGCAGCTGTCAGTTTCAATAACGTTAATGACTATATAACTTTATTTTAAAGAATAATCGTGATAACAATAACAAACAATTAAAGGAGCTGCGGAAAGTGTCCCCCTCCTTGTTATAACAATAAATTAAAGCAGCTGCTGAAAGTGTCCCCCTCCTTGTTCCAAGCACTTTTCACACCTGTTCCTCAAAGAATTAAAGACATTTTCTAAGATGCTCGGGGTATTGTTAATTTCACGAATCTTGTCTATAAGTCGAGCCTGCAGATGGTTTAAATCAGGAATAGGCAGNATACACCTAACTTTATTATTTACGTACAACAGTCTTCAAATTAAACATGTGACAAATAGAAAGAACAACAAAAACATTAACAACCATTTAACATAAAATGAGAGTGCCAGGCTCACCTAGAGCTCCTGTGGGGAAAGAGGATGGCAGAGAAACCCACGATCGTTGCTCTAACTACCCAAATATAAATACAAAACAACCGATGACAAAAGGCATAAACCTTTGCTAATGATGAATAACTTCCGACTTATTTAATGTATCACTAAATGCCACCTCACTCGAAATAAACATACACACTTCCAAATAAAACTGAAGAGGTTTGGTGTTAGTTAGCCGGCAGGGCCGGAAAGTACTGGAGTCCCATACGGGAGGCAATCCAGCTATGTGTTGAGATTTCGGAAGATCTGTTTTAGCAATTCTTTTTTTGTATTTAATTATTCTTTTTTTTTTCAGATTCGTCCCTCAAGGGCGAAAATGTTAGTAAATTCAACAAGGCTCTTATAGACGTATGATATAAAGTGAGCACAAGAAACGCTTTATTAGTTGTTTTTCGAACAATGTAATCATGACAAAACAAGTTAGATGTGAAACAAAAGAGTTGTTATTGCAATATCTGGGCAATCACGACAATATATACATATTTTAACATGTAATAAATGATGAGCAATCGCTAATAATAATTGTAACAATTTTATCTTAGAAAAATATATGCCCTTGAGCATAAAGCAATGGTGGCTAAACATACTAAGAATTATTATCATTAAACATCTGTAACCATCACAATCATAAGATTACATAGAACAATTAACGACAAAGTACTTACAGAATAATTACCTGCTAATTAATACGGATCAAACACTTTGATTTTTCACTATTTTGCCTCACTGCCCACCGATCGTCTTACTCCCATCTCCACACTGTTCTCACTTCAACTATTTAAGCTTCCTTCCAGAATTCCCCACCTAAGCGTTTGTTTTTGCGCTTCCTTCTACCAACGGTTAATATTACGATTTCATTAATATACAACACCCACGTAACAGGTGACGTCGAAGTTGATACGATAAGTATGGTTTTGCACAGCACCTACAAGGAATTTAGAAAAAGATTAGAAAAATGTGTATTACTTGAAAGTTTACAAGTTGAATAGTACTTGCTTCTTTGCTGTTGTTAATTGAAGTTCTAATTTGTTATTTTTATTTTTTAATTAGAAAATCATTTACTTCGTTTGCAGCCTTATGTGGTAGTTGTTAATATGTAGTAGAACAATTTCCGGGCCGATTGCCTCGTCGTCAGTTTAGGTTTCTTGACGTTTCGAGAGACATACCGCTCTTTTCAAAAACTCGAAAACTTTCAGAGTTAACTTCTGAGGACGAGAGCGATGTGTCTTTCGAAATGTCAAGAAACCTAAACCGACGACGCGACGCGATGTGGCAATTATATTATATTTTCAAAATAAAAGTTTACTTATTTTTAAAAATTCCGGCCGCCTTAAAGGAAAAAAGTAAAAAACCCCGCCTCCTAAATGAAAAAAGGGAATAATCCTCCTTTTTTAACAAAACCCAAAATTAAACAATTCCTGAAGTCCCCAAAAAACTTGGTAAAAAAAAGTTTTAAACAAAAAAAAAAATAAAAAGGTTAAGGGAAAATTTCACATTTTGAAATATTTTGGACGCCCTAATCCCTGATGTATGTTTTATTACATATTTTCTCGAAGAATCAACAATAAAAAAGATTACAAGAGTGCGGTACCCCATCCTGGGACATACTGTATATATTACTACTCGTTTTAGTTGAATATGGTTTAATGCAGGCAGTAGAATTTTCCTGGGTAAATTACTGCGAAGGTTACCTAAACAAAAACAATTTCTGCGAGGTTTATTTAACAAAAAACTTTTTCAGCCATTCCTTTTTCAGTTACAATATAATTTCCACAATATTTATATTGGTAAGACGTGTTTAACATATAATATACATATTAATATATATAATTCCAGTATGCTAACTTTCAAGCGTTCTTTTCTTGTACCATTGTTGACGTTATCATAATGGTCTTGAGTATATCTTTAGCAGCAAGACTGAAACAAATCAAAAAGAGAATCAAAACAGTTATCAGCCTTCAAGTAAGTACAAGATTATGTAACTTATGTAAATTAGATATAATCTTTTTTATACACATACTTAAGCATAAACGCAAATTGGTCAGATAACTTCCAAACGTTTTGACTCCCTATTTCTGAATCATAGGTTTGTTTATTCTTCAACAGTGACGTCAACACAGACATTTTTCTATAAAATTTTAGTTGTTCTTGATTTTAAATGTATTGAACTAATTCAATTAAATTTAAAAAAATTGTTTCAACCAGTGTTTTCTGATACAAAAATCTAGCTAGGTATGCAAAGTATATCTATCCTCATAAGCAAGGTTTTTAATTGATGATATTGCTCGTTATACCATCAATTCTCTACTAATCAGCTAATATTTATACAAGGTGTAACTTCATATTTATACAGAGGCTACGTTTGACCTTTAGAAATACTTATAAATAGTATATTTTTCCAAATTTGGCCTTGAAAACTTATTTTTTTTTAACCTTTTTTTAGTAATTTTCATATATCCTGCCGCTAGACAAACTAGTACGACCTCAAACAACGACGCGTTTTAGTCGCAGAGCATACACAATTGGTAACTGGGCTGTAAATCTTATATTTAAAAGAAATGTTATTAAAGAGCAAATCTCACAAACATTTTCTTATTCGGTATTTATAAGTGGGCAAAATCTATATGGTATCGTCTTGTTTGCTCCTGATAAAAAGTAGCTTCTAACCATATCAATTCTTTCTTAATTCGTATACATGTTTTTCTCATAACTTCACACAAAATCTTGAAAATTAAAACACAAAATTACACCGTTCGTCACTATACACTGAAATAAATAACTTTATAAGATTATAAACTTACACCACATAAAGGCACTTTATGAACATCCTCTCGTAAAACGATAAAGTTGAAAACTATACGAAAAATTTAGCCAAATGAAACAGTAAAGCATTCGGCAATTCAGGTTTTATTCCAGGTGTGAAGACAGTCGCTGTATCCGCTTTCAAAGGCGATACTGCAACAGAACAATAGCTAACCTTCGATGCACCTCAGAAGCGTTCAGGATATGATAGAATTTTTCTTAAATTTAAATTATTCACGGTTTAATTTTTGAATTTCTTTGAATTAATTTAATACCTTTAAAATTAAGTAAAAGTACAAAAGCTAATAATAAAATCCTTAGGGGTTATTTTCTATTTATTTATCTATCTCCCGTTATGACCAGTATCATAACGATATTAACTTGCAAAAGAGCTTACTATTAACTTCTCGAAACAGACTTTATAATTAATTATCATCTACACTTTAATTGATGCGTGGGGACTTGGAAATGCTGTACGTTCAGAGAATGAGGAAAGTTTTTAATAACAATAAAAACAAAGCAAACAAACAAAATAACGAAGGCACAATGGATTCGAACAAACATTATTAATTAATTTACATGCGATAACGCAATCTGAGCTTCAGGGAGCTCAAAGTGATTTCATAGCAAAATTTCGAAAGACTATCCATTATTAAATTAACCCGAGACTCTAAAATTAAGAAAACTGCCAGTGTGGAATCCATGGAAAAACTGCCTTTTTTTCGGAGATCTCTATTGAATTTGACACCTCGCTTCGACACGCCCATTTCTTGGGTCGGAAATTTCAGTTCTTATCTTATTGGCGGGATCCCTGAATATCGGGGGTTGAAATAGCTTAACTATACAATGTTAATATCTAATTGAATGAATTTACAATTTTATGGATAATTTTGTGATTAAACTGAACTTACAAGTAACACTACACCTTCCTCTTGTGACTCCGTATAGCAACACGGGACGGATTAGTCAATCTCATTTAATATATTCTTATAGCTTGGAAAATCCGCCTAAAAACCAGCTATTTGATCTATTATTATTTTCCTCACAACATTCTAACAACTTATTTAAATATCTTGGAATTCATATGTCTTTTTGAATGTATTTTGCGCGTTATTAGAAATATCGATTTTTCCCTTCACCATGGGCTAAACCAACGAAGTTATTCGATACCGGATGCCCAACACATGGCCCCGACGATCTAAGTCTACTTGTTCAAAATCATTGCTAGATTTCATGAGGCCTTCTCCCAAGGACTGCGGTGGTCGAGCTTTACAAATTTATTATTCCCGGTGACAAGAGGCACCAGTTTCTCAACGACTTTATGGCGACGCTAAACCTACTTGAAAACCCTTAACTTTTCAATAATTATTGTCGACTGAGTTGACTCATCCGTACCGAGAACTAACAAATAATCTATCACGAGTCCCGGCTTTTGTTACATATATATATTTTAAAAGATGTATTAATTTTCATTTTAAAAAGAAAAATAAGATTATTTAAATTAATGTATTCGGGTAAAAGAACTTGCTCACTTTGTACAGAAAACTTAAATTTCATTGAAATTTTATATGCAACCGTTATTATTGAGAACTAATCTTTTAATACAAAAGAAAATTGTCTTTAAAATTGAGGCCCGTATTTAATGTTTTACTTTTTAGGATAACTTCAGCTTATTGTTATTGTTTTTACCAAACCGCAGTACAAATGTTTTTTTACTATATTTCTATTTTAGTTATATAACATTCCTGTTCCAATAAACTTTAATATAACACAAATTTTTTGAACTTATTGCATGTCTTTTGTACCAGGTATTTTCTGTTTATTTTTAGAGCACCGAAGAAAATATTTGGAGAGAAATTAGGGAGGACTATGACAGACTAGAACATTTATGCAAATCAGTAAATTCCACGTTTTCATGGTTTATCGTACTCTCCTTTGTAGGGAACCTGTCTCTGATACTTATTCAGCTTTTTATCACTCTTCAACTCAACAGTAGCTTAGAAAAAATATGTCTGTACTACTCTTTTGGATATTTGATAGCGAGAACTGCATGTGTTTGTATATATGGAGCAGCGGTGAACGACGAATGTCGAAAAGCGTTGGTGCATTTATATAACTTGCCAGATTCGATCTACAATAGGGAGGTTTGTTAAAGAAAATTCTGAAAATATCGAAATATTTAGTTACCTATGTACGTAACCTATCTTATTATTCATTTAGATAAAATATCGCGAGAATGGAGGAAGAAGGAGGACAAATTTAAAACTTCTATATTTTAACAGCGACCAATCTGTTCGTCTCAAAAAGACCTATAAAACTTTTTTATGAGCTGAAAAAAACTAAGAAAAATTGTCCAAGTTATGACTATTTGAGGTTTGCGATTTTTCGAAAAAACGCAGTTTTTCGCGATATTCAAATGCTTACAGTACAGAAAACCAGTTCCAATTTTTTTCCTGAAACATTTAGGGAAGTTACGTTTGACCAACAACAACAAGAAGAAAATGTATACATTGTGAGGAATTTGCATTTTTTTTTTCATTGCCGTTCATTCAAAATTGAAAATTTGACTTTTTCGTATTTTCTTTCACTTTCTACGAGACCACTTCTCCTTGTGAGTTTTCTGAAAACTCTTCAAGATGCTCATGCAAGCTAAAGAGATTATAGTCCATGAGCTTTAATTTAAGCCGTGGAAGAAGCCCCTAGGTGCGGAGTTATAACATTTAAGATTTTTTAATTTTCAAGGTGTCAAATCCGTGAACGGTAATTTTCCGCAATTTCGCTACTTTAGCTTAAAATCGCTGATTCTATAGCACTTAGAAACCTCCCCAAAAAAACCAAATTACAGGTCTTTTACTTTAATTTAATAACCTACAATGTAATATTGTCCTGGTTTCCTTTTCATTAAATCCTGAAGAGAAACAAGGCGAAAATTATTAAAAAATCTTGTTTTTGGGGAGACTCTCGGATTAAAACGGTTGTAACTTGGATTCTATAGCACCTAGCAACTTCTTTAAAAAACCAAATTGAAGGTTTTTCTCTCTACTTTAATAATCTATGATAAATGTTTGTCCTAGTTTCCTTTACATTTATGTTTAAGGAGAAATAGGCAAAAAATTTGAAAAAACCATAGTTTCAGCGAGATTTTCAAAGGATTTCCCGTATAGGAAGCATTTCGTCCTTATTGTTTAATAAAAGTACATCTTCAGACCTTCAAAAATCGCCCTGGTTATTTTCCGTAGCCCTATTCTATGAGGCGCTATAGATTTTTGTCCAATTTAGGTCGATTTAGACTATAGTGTGCCGTCTCTAGTAAAACAACATTTATCCGTAAAAAGCACTTTGCTTCTAAAATCCGGATCTTGTGCTATTTGATACCGAAATCGCTTCATATGCAACATACAACACACATGCACAAGGTGCACAGGGCGGGCTTATACTTATGGTAATTTTTTTTAATTAATTTAAAATTAGTTGCTTAATAAAAAGTAACACCCTTTATAGATGTCACTTTGACAATAAAAACTAATCGAAATTAAGAAGTTTATTATTGCATGCAGCATGGGGGGTCAATACTCTTAATTATTTTGATTAATTTATCTCATAAAAGACCAACAAAAATGGAGAAATACAGAGTATTTTCTAAATCTACTCGAAAACTTGAGAAGGTTATTTCTTGCGTCACCCTTAAGAACAAAAGGTTTAGACCAAGGGTCGGCAACTGGCGGACCGCGGAAGGTAAAATACTGGACCGCCAAAAATTTTTTGAAAGTATAAATTACTCAAATAAATTATTTAAAAAATGTTTTCTAGTATTTTACAATTGTGTAAGTGTGTGAGTTCTTAATGGTTAGTAAGCAGATTAAATTTGAGTCCAAATTAAAATAAAAAAATAAGAAATATGAATTTTTTTNCAATTTTTTTTTTATAACTGGAAAAATATATCGAATTAATGGTGGTAAATTATAGGGTTACAACTTTTTAATTATCCAATACAGGTATCTTTCTTATTTTAAGAGATGGTTAAATGAGCAAAAATGTGTAGAATTTTATACCGGTCACAGAATCGTTTTTAAATTTAGAAAATTCCGAAAAGTTCCGAAGATATCCGAATGAAACCGATTTTGTGCTATTTCTTTTTTTGGTCGTATTTCACTTGTTTT